TTAGGACCCACCCTAATCCAGTATGACAGCATCTTAGCTTGATTACCCCTATGTCCAAATAAAGTCACATTCACAGATATTGGAGGTTAGGACTTGAACATGTCTTTTTGGAGGGCACAATTCAACCCACCACAAGAGTGAGGTGTTTGCAAAGTTCAAGAAAAGCCTCTGCAGCACTTTGGCCCGAGGCCAGCAAAGATGCTGTTGGAAGAACACTGAGCAGAGCCTTAGAGCCCCAGTGTCTGGATGTAGGATGTTGCATGTGTTCAAATGCGACACTTCCAATCCTCTGTCACTAGCCCAGGAGTAGGTGCTGTATCTTCACACACGATCACCACTCATTCTTCGCCCTCAGACTAGGTTCCTCTACCTGTTTCCCACAGACCTTATGCCTTTAATTCATAGTCTCTCTTCCTGGCAATGGCTAGAGTGTTAGACCATCTCATACCTCCCACGGGGTATGTTGTGAGGGGACTCCAGGCTCCAGAGAAGGTGGGTTCCCCAGAATCGACTTCAATCCCTAAGAGCTGTGTGTTGCAGCAGCTTCAGGGAGATTTTTCCAAAATGCCGGTGTGTTTCTACTGTATAGACATAGTCTCACTGTTTAAGTAGAGAATGTCTCCAGGAGCAAACACAAGGGCATCTGAGCCCTCGGTTAGCGAATCAGACACTAAACAATAGGGCAGTAAATTCAACAGCCAAGGTGGAGAGGGCGTAGAGTAAGTTCGAGAGTGTCCTGGAAGATCGTTACATTTCTTACCGTTGGTTGATAAGAGGGTCTGAGATCCTTCGAAAGTTAGACATCCTTCGGAAGGCCAGGCCCTTCTTGACGGGGCCAGTTTATCAGCCTTGAGCACTCGGAGACGGTCGGTTTTCCCAGGCTGGTAGCTTCAATGATGGCCCAGAAATGGAAGTCATTTTGTTTAGACACATTAACAAAACAGCCTTGGTGTGAAAGAACATATTAATGAATGATTCAATTAATTGTATTTTTAAAATGAAAATTCTTCCTAAAAGAAGCTTTTTCAGTTTTTCCTGAGCTGAGTTATTTCACCTTGAGCCTGAGTCCCAGCCGTGTGGATCATGTCCCGCTTCCTGTGCCTCTGAGCCTGTGCCTAGATTTTCCCTCCACCTGGACTGTCCCAGAGCCCCAGACTTCCCCTGGAACATGCCAACCTATCCTTTAAGGTCAACGGAGCCATCATGTCCTCCACAAGACCTCCTCTGCCTCGTCACACAGAGTCGGTACTTTGTCTTTGATGGAACCTCTAGTCTGGTGGTTCTGAACCAGTGGGACGCTTGACAAGGTCTGGGAACATGTTTAGTTGTCACAATGTGGGGGTTGTGCACTGGTATCCAGTGTGCAGAGACCAGCGATGCTGCTGACCCCCCTACATTGCCTGGGACAGCCCCACATGTCAATCACACCGAGGGTGAGAAGCCCCGCTTTAGTCTAACAATGACCGTGTGACCCTGACTCTTTGTTTACAACCAGATCTCCCCCCACTCAGGGGCAGAAACTTCGTTCAGTTGGTGCTTATGTTCTGAGCCCGCTGCCTGGTGTGAAATGAAATTGAAATGTACTCAGTTTTTATTGCCTTGATCCCTGCAGTTGTAAGATAACATCTCAGGTGGAACTCGGAGGAAGTGACACATAGATTTTATTTAATAAACTAAAATTGTTATTTTAAATTAGATAAGATTGGGCTAAGCCAATAGCAACTACAGTTAGATTATTGGCTAAGCCAATGTGACAGTGATAGCTACTTCCCCACTTGCTTCTGTGTGTGTTATGGGTGCACACATTCCTATTGATGACCCAGAGGGTTGTTGGTCTCTGCAGCCCTCTGACAATTTTTCAGTGTTTCGTGGGGGCTAGACTTTGCTACAATAAGTTTTAATAATCCTATTTCCATTTGAGTTTGTGCTTGTAGTAATAATAGCCATCTAATATATGCCAAGTGCTGTTCTAAGCACTTTATATGCAATAATTTAATTCTGTGAGATGGAGATGATTATTATCCCATTTTATATATGAGGAAACCAAGGCCCAGAGAGGTTAAATAATTTGCTCAAGGTTGCACAGATAATAAGTGGCAGGACAGTCTGATCTTGAGTCATGACACCAAACTGCCTATCCTAATAAGCTTAGATCCTTTCTCACACCATTTATCAAAATAAATTCCAGATCATGATTAAAGACCTGATTATAAAAAATAAAAACTTACAACTTTATAGAAAATATGGGAAAATATCCTTACAGTCTCAGGATGGGGAAGGATTTCTCAAACAAGGTTCAAAAAGTACAGACAATGAAGGAAAAACCAGTAGTTTTGACAACACAGAAGTAAAAACGTCTGCAGTCCCCCAAATATCATAAACAAAGCTAGAAGACAAGTGTTAGACTGGGAGCAGATAGTACAAAAGATAAAGGATTAGTATGAAGAGCATATAAAGATCAATACCGATTAATAAGAAAAACTACACATAGGAAAACAGACACTGGAGAAAAAAAGGAGGAAAACTGCACAGAAAATAAACATATGAAAAGATCCTCAAGTTCACTAGCAATCAGGGAAGTGAAAGTTACAGTAACCATGAGAAATGATGTACCACTTCTCACGCATCAGCTTGGCCAAAAAGCAAAATGTCCCACATGCTCAAATGTTGGCAAGGAGGTAGAGAAACGAGAACGCCCACGGGGCTGGTGGAAGAATCGGCGGAGGCGTGTCCGCGCCACGCTGCAGATGCTGACACTCCGTCTTAGCTCACTGAGAACACAGATTATACAATAAGAGACTGTTCTTGGAGCTCACTGATGGAGACAGAGGGGAGGCTTGACCTGGGTCCGGCAGTGGGCTTCCAGGGCTCCAAGAACCCCTGAAACAGCACCCCCCCAGCACGTGTCCTCCATCTACGCCTTTGTGCCTTCCTCCCTGTGGAGAGTCTGTATCCACACGGTTAGGATCCACTGTCTCAACAGCCCCAGCCCGCTTCCTGAAAACACAGACCTCTGTCCCACCGCAAGGGCCAGAGTGAGCAGAAATAGCCTCAAGGCAGATTCGACACCAATTTTAAACAGAGTGGAAGAGGGGAGTGTGCCAGGCCTGCTGTCCCTCTCTCTTCTCAACACTTGAGTAGCTTTTAGAGAAGTGTAGACACGTGCCAATGACACTGCAAGCTGGGAGCTGCTGCCTTCTCTGAAGTCCCTCATAGGCGGAGTCCAGTTTGGGTCAGAGAGAGAATAACTACAGTTGTTACCTCTGGCAGACCTTATTTCTTGTTCAAGAGGGAATAAACAGCCTAACTAGGGGTTTCATTCTTTCTGCTTCTGAGTCAAGGCAGCTAAGTCGTTTTAGCTGTGGAGGAATCAAGACGAGTTTCTCTAAATCACATACAGCAAAGGCACCATATGAGGGTTCTTTTTTGAGTGAGATGGCTGAACAACGATTTTTCTGGTCTAAATAATGTCTCCAAGATTTCAGACACAGAATTCTGGGGCCTCTGCCAAATCCTCATTTGTCTGATAGTTGAGCAGATTCAAATGCCTTTTTTGTGAAACAGTTTGGCCCTGGGGACTGAGGTCCCTGTCCTGTGCAGAAGAGCTGGTCAGCTGGGGTTGAATACAATGTGTAAGTGTAGTCAAGGTTCATTGCCCAGGTTCATCTTGTATTAAGTGCACAGCCTGGTGGCACTTGGCAGTCTCCTCAGAGAACTCCTCCCTTGGTTGGTTGCTATCCTATGCCTAAAAAAATTGTGGCTCAGTCATCTGGTATTTGGGAAATGGTCCAAGGAGCCCATTGGCAATATGTGCCTCTAAATTCTGTTGGTTTTTTCATATAGAACAAGGCTCTTGGACGACGTTAGCTCGTTTCCCCGTAAAACCCTCCCCTGAGTCCAGATGTAACAGCTCAGCTTTTACTGGGGCTTGGGGTGAAGAATGAGCATTTGAAGACCACCCCCCACCTCCGCCGATCTTCCATAGGACTAGAGCTGAAGATACTGTCTGCTGTGTTACTCAGCATAAGGATTTAGATTTCTTCTAAAATTTAAGACCAGGAAAATATTTCTTTCTCCTGAAAACCCTGCATGCTTTACTAGGGACTTGGGAGCTGAGATGCCACGGGTGTCCGTGTAAAGAGCGGATTTTGGAGCCCAAGGCCCTGGGTTCAATCCTGACTCAACTGCTTACTGAGAGAACTTGGACAGTGTACTCATCCTTTCTCAAACCCAATGAGCTCATCTCAAAAATGGGAATAATGCTTTCCATGCCATAGAGCTGCTGTGGGGATTAGAACACTTTGATGCAAAGTACAGAATACACTGGAAGTGCTCAACTGATGGTCATTTTTATTAGAAAATGTATTTTGCCAGACAATTCAAAGCTAGAATCAGTGCTCAGATAAAGTGAATTTTAATTTAGGTTCTAGTACAATGTTCTTTTTTCTTCTAATGATCTCTGATTGTCCTAATTTTTATTTTGATGATCCCATTCTCTATGTGTTTTAATATTCTAGACTGCCTCAAATCTTCTGTGGGAGGAAGATGGGGAATAGATGAAGAAGAGCAGCAAATTCCAGTTAACTTGTGTCTTTCTTATTTCCTTGGCGCCAACTCCCGGGTTCCAAACCCAGCTTGACCAACTGACTGTGTGTCCTTGAGTACGTCACTTTAGAGACACTGTCATTTGTTGGGGGGTGGGCTGCTGTGTGGTTTGTGTTCTTTCCTCTTATTCTGACCGCTCATGGGCATCCCCCAATGCAGGAATTCGACGCAGAATTTGGGGTCTGTTGCTCATACTCGCTGAGGCTGGCAGCAAGTGGGCGGCAGAATGCCGTGCTCCCCCTGCCACAGGGAGAGAGGAGCAACCATGTGCCCCATGCAAGGCTGCAGCGAGGAGAGACCAGGGTCGTGTTACCCCCAACAGAAGTGAGAGCCCTGGCTCCCCAGCCTGAAGACCTTGGTGACTTGCTTGGGGCTCTTTGTAAGGGAAGGTACACGGTCCTCCTCCACTCCTCCACCCCTGTGCACCCTTATCTATGCAGCCCTTTCTGTTCTCTCCCTCCCCTGACACTCTTCTCTCCTGCAAGCTGTATTTTTGTTTATGAAGTTGGGAGCACCTTCTCAGGAGCACCTGGGATCAGAAGCTCTTCTCAGCTGGAGGCACACGTGGGAACCTGGGACAGAAGTTCTCCCCCTCCGATTGTTAATGCTTTCGTTTTCTCTGACGCTCTCCTGGCTTTCCTGTGCAGCCAGCCCTTGCCCTTGCAGAGAGGTCGCTTTGCATGTGGTTGTTGAACTTTGATTCGGTGACTCATGCTGAGGCACAGGCTTCGTCTCCCTCCCTCATTTGGTTGCTTCTTCTTTTCATTTTTTTTCAAACCCCAAGCAAAACTACCTTTGCAGCTGAACGTGACTCTGGCATCCAGGAAGTGGAGCTCTGGCATGGAGCGGCTCCTAACGGCCGCACCGTCCAGCCCGGCTGCACTGCCCTGGCCTTGGTGACACCTGGCTAGCTGGGAGGAGAGCGGTGTGACAGCTTTGGGCTCCTGGGCGAGCTGAGGGGACTGCTGGCATCCACTGTGAAGGCTGCAGCGACACGCCCTGCTGGTGAGTGCATGTCCCCTGGTCATTAGTCAGTGTGACGAACACTGAGGAGACCTGGGTCCAGGGGTGGGAGGAGAGACAGAACATATGGGGGTGGGGGCAGGTCGGAGGACAGTTCTTGGAGGAATATTATCCTGAGCAATCTGATTTCCCACACCTTAAATTATTCTTAGTGCTCAGATAAAAAAATTAGGTAAGCATCTTTAATTTCCTTTAGGTGAAATCCTTGCTCATTTTAGCAATGTATTTAATTTCAAGATGGCTTTTGTGGGAGAAAGATGAATCAGAGGAGGCTCTTCAGTGTAAGTAAAAACTCCTGCTGTGGTCTTTGAAGGTGATTTAATTTTATGAAATCAGAAGGAGTAGGACCGGCAGGCACATTTTAAACCTGTCTGCACTCCTGAGAGCAACTTCTAGACTGGATGTTGATCTGTGGGGTCTAGTTTCCTGGCAGATCAGGAACATCTGGCAGCAGCCCCAAACACCATCTCTTCTAGAGGGCGGCTCTGTGGGCTTCCAGAAGCCTTAATCTGACGGCAGTGAAGGCAATTTTGGTGAATTCCCTGCAGCCATTAGAAACCCCCACCATGCCCCCAAGATTATGACCTGCTCTCCAAGGCCAGCTGATGCCAACCCAGGAGCTCCAGCAGCTGACACATGAATAGGTTGGGAGTGGAATGTAGTAGGGTGTTTTGTTTTTTTAAAACTTTGCTTCAGAGTTGCCCTGGGATATAGATCAGAGCTGTAAATACTTGTGTGCACACCCGAAGTAACCCACAGCAGTACAGCGCAGGGGACAAGTTCCAAGGAGAAATAAGAAGCCAGGCCAGTCCCCCCACGCTCACAGCAGCACTACGCACAGCAGCCAAAAGGTGGCAGCCACTCAAGTGTCCATGGACGATGAATGGTTAAACAGAACCTGGTCTAGACACACAGTGGAATAGTAATCATTGTGCCTTGAAGAGGAAGGAGCTTCTGACACACGCTACAACATGGATGAATCTCGAAGACGTTATGCTAAGTGAAATCAGCCAGTCACAGAAGGACAAATACTGTGTGATTCCACTTATATGAGGTCCCTAGAGTCATCAAATTCATAGAGACAGAAAGTAGAACGGTGGGTGCCCGGGGCCGGGGGAGGGATGTATTGGAAGTTAGTGTTTAATGGGGACAGAGTTTCCGTTTTACAAGATGAAGATGTTCTGGAAATGGAAGGTGGTGGTGGTTGCTTAATGCCACTGAACTGCAGTCTTAAGAATAGTTCAAATGTTAAATTTGAATAAATTATAATTAAAAATAATAATTCCCTTAAAAAAAAGGCCAGGCCAAAAACACAATTCTCACGGGCTGAAGATTTGCTTCTCTGCGACTTCCCCAAAATCTGTCAGCTCCACCGAGGTGCCCCAGCTCTGAGCTGAACCAGAGAACTTCTGTGTGGACTTGGCTTAGAAGAACTTTCTCCTGATCTCCGCGGGTGACTTCTGGTGGCTGTAATGTGGTGATTTCTCTGGAGTTGGCAAAGGTGACCCAGAACGGATTAGGGGGCCAGGGGCAATGTGTTGAATGCTCTCATTCGGAGGCCCTGGGTGGCACCCCCTGGCCTGGGTGACGGCAGGAGTCGCCGTCCTTAGGAGTCTGGTCTCTCGCATTTATTAGCTGTGGGAGACCTCTCTTTTCCTCAGTTTTCTCACCGGCAACATGAGTAACGAGGTAGCACTTTCCACCTCCAGGGCCGTTGGGATTTCCAAAGAAATACAAGGACAAGCCTTTTAACCATAGAGTCCTGTGCACATGTGAGCTACTGGTTTTCTCCACGTCTGATCTCGCTCATTTTCTCCTTCTTCGCTTTCTCTTTTATTCTTTTCCTTGGGCGCTCTTCCAGTCAGAGTTTACAGACCTTTTGCCTGGGGGCCCTCAACCTGGACTGACTGATTCTGGAAGGAGCAGTCTGATCTGATTCCCATTGTGTCACCCATGAAGCCCACCTTTCCTCCCCCCTCCCTTCCACGCTGTTGCGTTAGGCCGCCTCTAACTTTGGTTCAACCTGCACACATCGCCACAGTCGCCTGGACTGCTAACCAGCCAGAGGAAGGTGTTGCAGTGCTGAGCAGTGGAAGACTCCATGAGGAGACTTTCAAGATTTCCAAAGGGTTACTTGTCATCTGTGCTGTTTGTGACTTCCAGTCAAGATTGAGGAAGAAAACTAAAATGAAATTGCTCGTACTTTCAGGCTTTAAAAATAGGAAGGGAACAAAAGCTGCTGGCAGTGTGGCAGCTTGAAGACCGTCACATCTGAAGGGGAGGGTTGTGACCTGGGGGCCGGGGGAGGCTCCTGAGCACAGCCCCCCACCCCAGCTTTCTCCCTTATTTAGAAGCCTTAAAAGGAAAGGAAGCTGCTTTAAAAGTCTCGAGAGGGGAAAATGAAAAAGCCTCTGAAGTAGGTGAATTCTTTCAGTTAACTTTGTGTAACAACAGCTCTCCTGTCCCACGCGCAGGCTTTCAGAAGTCTCCTCAGAAAGGAGGAATTCCTCTGTGGGAATTCGAGGCTCCTGCGGAGACCTGCAGGGGACAGGGCTCGCGTGGCCCCCCACTCTCCCACCCCGGGGAAAGGCCCCATGGTTTTTCATTTTGAAAATGTTCGTGTTTCTGTCACACCAGAAGGCAAAGTTACAGAACAAACCTGGACTCCCCTCCTCGCTGTTACTTGTGACCAAAAAGTCACCAGACCCAGGCACACTGACCCTGAACACAGCTCAAAGCAATGCATTATTTTTGGCATCTACTTAGTGTCAGTCTCTCCCATTTACAAGCTATGTAACCTTTACTCTGTGTCACTCTGAGCCTCAGTCTCTTCACCCGTGAAGAGAGAATACTTTGATCTACCCTGTCTACCCACCAGGGATGATGGGAGGTTCCCGTAAAAGTCTCCACGTGAGAGTGATGTGGGAACAGTGAAGACCTGTGTGAATACGAACTTCGATGTTCATGCTGCCCGTGACCGTCTTTCTTCTCTTTCCTTCTCTCTCACTTGGGTTCCCTCTCTCATTTCTTTCTCCCTTTCCTCCTCTCTCTTCCCTTCTCTCTCTCTCTTCCAAACCAAAGAAGTGCTACAGAAGTGTGTGCATAGGCAGGGAGGAGTGGAGATGGGTGTGGAGCTGGGCCGTCAGGATTGGGAAGGCTTCTGGAGGATGTGACAGTGGGGTTAGGCTGGTGGAGGAGGGGCAGGTGCTGCAGGCAAAGGGAGGAGCCCCAGTGAAGGCCTGCGGGCCTGAGAGACCATGGGTCTTTGGGGGACAGAGAGGCTGGCCCGTTGGCTGGGTGTCCTCTTCCTGCATGGAGATTGGACCAATGCTGGACCTCAGCCCAAGGGGACGACTGTCCTGAGAGAGAAGGATTGGTCACTAGTCAAGGAGTAGAAGGTTAGGCTGGACCAGAGGTACGTGGCCAGTGAGAGTGGAAAGGGGGCCAGGCCCGAGGGTGAAGGGCCTTGACTCTCATACTGAGAAGTTGTGACATTTACTCTGTACAGGATGGTGGGACGTGGAAGTTTTGGGGGCATCATGGAAGTCTTTGATCGGTGAACTAACTTGATTAGAATTGTTGGGGGGGGCGTGTGGTGAGGACGCCCCCAGGAGCCCCCGCGAGAGGTGACGTGGCCCTTCTCCAACTTGCCCAGGTCTGTGAGGGCCTTTCCGGCCTCTCCTTTCCCCTCAAAGGACAGGAAGTCGCTCCTCACCTGTGTTTTGAAAGCACATTTTTCTAATCAAAAGTATTGTGTTTTTCATCATGACTTATGGCTTGTTGTTCACATTTTTTTGCCTGTTTTCCTGAATAGGTTGTGAAAGACTTGAAATTGGACTGCATATTGTTTTGTTTTGTTAGAGAACTGAGTCCTGGCACAGTGCCTGGTGTCCAGTGGGTCATCAGTAAGTATTTGTCACGTAAGTGAATGGCTGAATGAATGACGGTGGCGTGAGTGCAGAGGAGAGGGTGGTTATGGAAGATATCCAGAAAGCAGAATTAATGACCGCTCGGATGTAGACGTGAGGGAGATGGAGGAGTCAAGGGTGGCTTTGAGATGCCTTCTTGGGGCCTCTGCGGGATGCCATTCAGTGAGACTGGGAACCCAAGAAAAAAATGTTTGCGGAGGGAAGATAATTTCAGCTTTGGACATAATTAAAGAAAAATCTATTAAAGCCCTCAGATACACTAGGCACTGTGCCAGGTGCCGGTGATTCCGAGGCAAACAGGTTGGAATGTCCGTCACAGTTTCTTGAGAAATAGGTAAACGACAATTCAGTGCGTCATAAAAGAGGTGTGAGCAAAGTGCCTGGTGGCCGAGATGGCCAAGCCACCGCTTCTGTCTGTGAGTCAGGGACGATTGCTTTGAGTGGCGTTTGAGCTGAAGCTTGAAGCTTGCCAAACCAAAAAGAGCATTCTGGGTAGAGAGGAAAGCATATGTGCACAGTGATAGAACGTTCTGGAATGCCTGGGGAGCAGCGAGAGATTCAGCGTGGCTCTAGAGAAAGGGCAGGGAGGGCCAGTGGTGGGCAGTGAGGTGGATGGGGATCGGCTGCATCGTGACAGCCTGCTCAGGAATTTGGTCTCAATCTTGTAGTTAACACGGCGTTAGGAGATATTTCTAAGTGGGAGGTGACGTGGTCAGACTTGTTCTAGAGATGCGATGCTGGCTGCACATGGGGGCTGGGCCAGATGGGATTGAGGGAGGACACCCATCAGGAGGCTGTTGCTACACATACCCATTAAGGTATGGGGTGAAGAAGTTGGGATTAAGACTTGGGTGGGGCAGGTGGGCAGTAAGAGGGTGTGAGAGGGACAGACTGAGGAAGGAAAGTCATTGGGCCTCTGTCCTGGGGCCCTGGGTGACACGTCTGTAGGCCACCTACATGGAACCATCTACCTGGAGATACCTAATGGAAAGCTCTGGATTTAAGAAGAAACTTGTTGGTTTCAGAACCTCTTTTCACTCTTAAAAACTCTTAAGGACCCCAAAGAGCTTTTGCTTATGTGGGTTATATCTGTCAACATGTACCTTATTAGAAACTAAAACTAAGACATTTAAAAATGTTCATTTATTTTTAAATAATAAGTCAATTACATGAATATACACCATATATTTTTATGAAAAATAACTCCATTTTCCAAAACCAAAAAATGTGCCAGAAGACTGGCACCGATTTGCATTTTTGCAAATCCCTTTAATATCTGGCTTAATAGAAGACAGCTGGATTCTCAGATCTGCCTCTGCATTTTGCAATATCATGTGACATGTGGTCTCTGGAATACTCCATGGTACACTCGTGAGGGGAAGAGAGTGAAAAAAGCAAATTACACCTTCGCATTATTATGAAAACAGTTTTTAGAGGCCGGCCCAGTGGCGCAAGCGGTTAAGTGCGCGCACTCCGCTGGGGCGGCCCGGGGTTCGCCAGTTTGGATCCCGGGCGTGCACCGATGCACTGCTTGTCAAGCCATGCTGTGAGGGCATCCCATATAAAGTAGAGGAAGATGGGCACGGATGTTAGCCCAGGACCAGTCTTCCTCAGCAAAAAAGAGGAGGAGTGGCATCGGATGTTAGCTCAGGGGTAGTCCTCCTCACAAAACAGAAAACAGTTTTTACTGTGCAGACTCCCTGAAACGGTCTTGGGAACCACAAAGTTTCCCGGGAACACACTTTGAGAACCACTGAAGTAGACTCAGCAAATGTCTGGTGAATGACACCATTCTGAGTTCCCATAGCCCTTTATTCAACAGCGAGCATGGCATTTATTTCACAGATTTATACTGTGTGTGCGGCTGCTTAGCAAGAGGTCTGAGCTGGAAGTGTGGGTGTGGGCTCGTGGATAGAGGGGCTGGTGGAGGGCATGAGCCTGGAAAGATGTTCTGGGTGGGACCCCATCATTGAACAGATGAGCAGAGGCTAAGGAACGAGCTGGAAAGACTTAGGAGGAGACTCAGGCCACGTTGGACAACCTAAGAGAGAAGCGAGTTTCAAGGAGGAGGTAGTCCAAAACTTTTTGATTTACAATAACAAGTAAGGGAGTGGTCCACAGTGTTGAAAGAAGCAGAGAGGTTGTGTGAAGCAAGGAATGTGGAGATGCTGTTGGATTTGGCAGTCAGGAGGTCACTGGCGGCCTCGAGAGCAGTTTCGGTGTTTCTGCAGTCAGTGGGCCAAGGCGGAGTGGGGGGGTGACGAGTGGGGGCCGCAGCAGAGGCCTGGGGGCTGGCCGAGAAACGCCCGTCACCTGCCAGACCCAGTCATTGTTAGTTCTGTGCAGGTTCCAGCACCACGGGGAGAGGCCCTGCAAGAGAATGGGAAGCCGAGCTGGGAACCGAGAAGAGAGACGGGAATGCTGCGGAAGATTCCAGTAGGAGACTAGGATCTGAAGATAAAGAACCTGTGATACTGAGAAGGGATGGAGTGAAAAGACAGGTGTGCTCGAATGTTCTTGGAGCATGACTTGTGACAGGGAAAAATGGAAGACGGTCTAAGTTTCCATCATTTGGCAAATGGTTCAACACCACTCACTCATTCATTCATTCATTCAACCAATATGCATTAAGGTTCAGCTGTGCCAGGCTCCATTCTAAATGCTGGGGTTACAGTGGGCAGCAGGACAGATGAACTGGCACGGAGAGATTTCCAAGATGCATTTTAATTAAGAAAAGCAAGTTGCTGAACAATACATACAACACGACACTATTTATGTAAAAACAGACCCCGTAAAACGATGTATGTGTGTACCTACTAGATGTGCAAATGAATGCATAGAAGAAGCAGTGGAAAGCATGCACACAGGAGAGGCAAGTGGGGTTCAGGGTGTGCATGGAGAGACATGATATCCTTTTACTCTTTATACTTCTGCAGTGTTTCCATTTTTCACAGAAAATATATTTTCCTGATTCTTTCTGTATTTTAAAATGTTTTTTGAAAGATGTGGGTCTTTGTGAGTACAAAAGAGAGAGGGACCCAGTCTGTCCAGGGTGTTCCTATTGGTTTAATCATCTTTTTTGTAAACGTCTGTCAGGCTGTAGCCCCCCAGCCCCCGCCCGGCTGGACAGGATCAAATTTGGGTTAGGGCTTTCTATTTTAGGGGTTCAGTCTGGTCTGACTTAATTGCCAGGGAAAGCCGTGCCAGTGCACAGAGCTGAATTTGGGTCCAAAGTTTACGTTTCTGGGAATACAGTTCCCCAGGGAGCATTTTCCCCAGTTTAAGCTGAGGAGCTGTGTTAGTTTGCGAGGGCTGCTGTAACAAAATACCACAGACTTGGTATTTATGACATATATTTATATTTTATTTATTATTATTGTTGCCTCACGGTTCTGGAGGCTAGAAGTCCGAGATCAAGGTGCTGGCAGGGTGGTTTCTTTTGAGGCCTCTCCTTGGCTTGTAGACGGCCGTCTTCCCCTGGTGTCCTCACATGGTCTTCCCTCTGTACCCATCTGTGTCCAGACCTCCTCTTCTTATAAAGGACGCCAGTCATGTCAGATCACAGCCCACCCTAACGGCCTCATTTTAACTTAATCACCTGATTAAAGACTCTGGCTCCACATGCAGTCACATTCTGGGGGATGGGGGGTTAGCGCTTCAACCTGTGAATGTGGGGGACACAATTCAGCCCATGACAGAGCCTCGGAAACTCTCCTTTGGCCGGTGTACAAATGTCCCGAGTGCTGGGCGGCCTGCTCAGCTGCCCTGTGCCTGCGCCCGGTGACCCTGCAGGGTGCGTGTGGGGTGCAGGCCTCGTGCACTAGTAAAAGCAGGGTGACTGCATCTGTGGCTCCACAACCACACTGAGCAACTGAAAGTCCCCAAGGGGACCAGGCGTCGACATGATTTCCTGACAGATAAGGCGGGGCGGGAGCGTGCATAATTTGCCCTCGGTAACCCGCCGGCCTCCAGGCCAGGCTGCCCAGAGAACGCCTGATGGGTGCTCTTTCTCTTTAGCTCATGCCGGTGCTGCTCTGCCGGGAGGAAACCGGGGCCAGGACCCTCGCCAGAGGCCCGGCGGGCACAGCATGGAGCGCTCGAGCAAGATGGAGTTCTTCCAGAAGCTGGGCTACAGCCGGGAGGACGTGGTCAGGGTGCTGGGCAAGATGGGCGACGACGCCCTGGTCAACGACGTGCTGCAGGAGCTCATCCAGACCGGCAGCCGCCCTGGGGCCCACGAGGCCAGCGCCGGGCCCCTGCTCGTCCCCAGGGGCTCCTGCGGGATCCCCGACTCCGCCCAGTGTGTGCTGGGGGCCGAGCTGGAAGAGGAGTGCGGAAGCCCAGCCAGCTCCTTGCGACCCATAGTGATCGACGGCAGCAACGTGGCAATGAGGTAGCTTTCTTCACCCTGTAGCAGTGGGATGGGAGGAGAACTGTCCCTCTTCTCGGTGGTTTGGTCCAAAGAGCTTTGGGGCCAAGGAATGGGGCTTTGAATCCCTGTTCCATCCCTTAGTAGGCTGTGTGGCCTTAAGTAAGTCACTTAACCTCTCTGAGCCTCACTTTCTCCGTCAGTAATGAAGGTAGTTGTAAGCATTGGAGCTACACAAAATGCCTAGGACAGTGCTGGACACAGAGGAGGTGTTCCATAGGTGCTGGCTACTATCATATGAGCCCAGAGAGAGGCCCTCTCGGAGGAAGGCTGTGGGTGATCAGGGAGGAGCCTAGGGCTGGGCCTTGGCAGGTGCGCCTTCTTGTCTGGAGCCGTCTCGCGCCAGCTGCGTGACTCTGGGAAAGCCGTGCTACCTCCGTCTTCTCTTCTGTGACGCAGCCGAGAGATACAGCTCTTGTATCTCTCATAACCTCCCTCAGGGTTATGAGAATCGGGTGGGAAAACGTGCTGGGACTTGAATGCATTGGAAGCCCTCTGCTGGGGTTGCTGGGGGGTGGGTGGTGGTGTTGGGGTTCCTGAGCTAGGTCTGAGAGGTGTGCTTGGGGCCGCTGAGCTGCAGACATGGTTGTTAGTATTTGTTTATTGGCGTCTCTGTGTGTTTCGGTGACGAGAGCATCATGCCCCGCCTTGTCATCCTTCCTGGCCTGGCCACATTCAGCTGTGAGAGAATCTGCAGCCTCACCCACACGCCCCACTGGGCGAGGAGAAGGCTTTGCCCAACCAAGGGCATTCATCTACTACTTGGCTCCGTTGCAGCTGAGCAAAGGGCGGACCATAGGAAATCAGCCAGTCACTCACAGCTGTCAGTAGATGCATTTCCCTTTTCAAAAGCTGAGCCGTGGGTGGGAATCAAGAGAAGCAGTTTATCAGCAGCCCTGAATGTGTGAAAAGGGCATCTTTTGGCTGACAGGCCGAGCAGTTTTTTCTGGCGATTTGTGCTAACTTTGGGGCACTGCGGGCCATTAGTTTCGGATGGTTCAACCCAGGATGGCTGTTCCTAGCTGCCCTGCCTGTTGTGCACTGAGAGGGTTCCTTCAAGTTTTAGCCGGGTCTCCCTGGCTTGGTCATGTCCGCAGGTGAGGGAGCCCTCCCTTCTCCCTGGGGCTTAGAGCTGGCCCTCATCCTCACACGTGCCCCGTGGAGGCACCAGACAGGCGAGCCTATGAAATCCTGCTTAATTCAGGATCTCTGGGGGAGTTAAAGGGATTTTAAAGAATCCAGTAGGTTCTGAGGGTCCTGGAGAGAAAGTCTGAGGGGGGCCTGGCCTCTGTCTGGTCTGGATGAGGCACCTCTCCTTCTGAGCATCAACAGAAAGAGATTTACATTCATATCTTACATCTTTGAATATAAGATGATGTTGCTTAAATTGAAGACCTTTCCAGCCCTAAGATTATATGAGCTCTGGGATTCTAGATGAAAAGAGCAGAATGCTGTAGTGTAAAAAGACTACTTCAGGTGCCACAGGAAGGTGTCGGCATTCTCTCTTTGGGGACCAGATGTTCTTCAGGAATTGTTATGATACGGTGGTGGTGGAAGGTTTTCTTCTGATGAAAGTCTCTGTTGTTACTTGGAATTCAAACTTAAACCACATCCTCTATTTGCACATGGCCATGATGTGTTCTGGGTAAGTCCATTTAGTCCCATGCCCCCCACCTCCCACAGTTGTAATCAGTTTAATCCCTTCATGCTCAATCTGTGTGGGTGACAAATGGAAACCATCACGAGTGAAGAATGTGTCAGAACATAAATGCTTTCATACACTTGCTGCCTAAAATTCACCTCAGTTAACCAGAACACGTATGTCCATATGTCTTCTCAGTGTCTACACACACACACAAACATTCCCCCCATCCCCTGGATCCCCGTAGTTAGGAAAAAGAGATGAATTGCACAACCACCACCTGATGGTGGGACTAAATTTGTTCAAAGGAAAGTCTGGGAGGGAGTTGGGGTCTGAGGTTCAGCCCCATCCTCTGCTCCTTCTCCTACAATCCTGCCTACTGGGTCCTCCAGCCAGAGTTTCAACAGGACCCATGACCCTCAGGCTCTGCCAGACCCTCAGTTGTGAAGGATGGATCTGAGTGTGGGGCTCAGCCTTTAGAGAGAATGGATGGATGAAACCTAATGTGGTGTCTAGTTATTATCTGTTGACATCAAAACTCAACTAACCTCAGAAACATGGTTTCAAAAATTCTCCTAGGCTGAGGTTTTGTAGTATTGCAGACACGGCTGTTCTCTGGTTTTGAAGATGGTCCTGCCTCGTGTGCTGTATGGTCCTGGTAGGGGCAGAGGGGAGCTTAAAAGACAGATTGGGACACATGGCCCTTCTGTCCTGAGCACATGAGGAGTGTCTTCTGTTGACAGCAGCATCCTCTAGGGTGCCTGCTGCCAGATGTGGCTCTGTCCCCTGGAGCCTGGGGCAGCTTCTGCCTTTGCTCACAGAGAACAACAGCCTGACTTTTCAGGGACAGTTTTTTCCCCCTTGTCTTTGGGAAGCTGTGTTTCAGTGGATCCTTAAAGACCAAAATCTATATTAGTTTCCTATTGCTGCAGTAACAAATGACCACAAACATGATGGCTTAAAATAACACAAATTTGTTGTCTTATAGTTCTGGAGGTCAGAGTCCAGCATAGATCTCCCTGGGCTAAAATCAAGGTGTCGGCAGAGCTGAGTTCCCTTCTGGAAGCTCTAGGGGATGATATGTTTTCTTGCCTTTTCTAGCTTCTAGGAGTCACCTGAATTCCTTGGTTCACGGCCCCTTCCATCTTGAAAGCCAACAATGGCCTGAAATGATATACAGAATGTGGAATGTGTATACATATAGGTATTTCTCTGGGGAGAAGATTCACAGCTTTCGATAGATACTGGACGAGTCTGTGACGCCCATATGTAAAGAACCACTGACGTAGAACGAGAAATTATAGGTGATGTCATGCTCCATGGGAGGCAGTAAGCTATGTGTCCTCTGTCAGCACAGAGAATGTTAGAGCCGGCCATCAGTCCTTCATCTGACCCTCTAGGTTGAGAGAGGAAGAAACACAGGAAGGGAGTAGGTGGGCTCGGCCAAGGTCAACACTGGCTCCATCAGACCCCGGCCTCCAGCCCTGTGTTCCTGCCATGTCAGCCAATGTAGAAGTTTCCAGGGGCTTCTCTCCCCAGAGCTTCAGAATGTGTAGCCCAAGGCTGTTTGTAGTGGCTAAACCCAGTGGGCCCTGGGTAACCGCTCTCTGGAGCTCACAGCATGGGCCCCTGGCCAAGTGCTTTTTAAAAGAAGTGGGAACATGCTTGTTCGGAGCACACAACAGTTGGCCTGTGTTATGAAACATGTTTGTCCTTAAGTCATTTAAATAGAACCACACCACCAAATTAAAAAAACCCTCTGTCTCCTCATTGTAACGACAAAAGCAGTCCATTTGGCTCTTATGAGGAGGACTGACGGCTTCATTTATCAATTCATAAGTGGTGGGTCAACTTCAATAATTCTAGGTTGCAGTGTGGGGAAATACATAAGACAGGGACCTGGGAAACCAGATCTTATGCTTGCCCGTAGTTTTGCTGACTCTCACTGTATTTCACGTAGGAAACCAGGGAGGTCAGAAGCAGTAGATGGAACATGGGGGTTATTGTTCAAAAACCCTAGTTCTGACTTCTAGCCTGGAGCTGCCCAATAGAACTCCCTGCGATGATGGAAGGTTCTGTACCCGTGCTGTCCATCACAGGGGCCACTTGGGGCTACCGAGCATTTGAAATGTGGCTGGTGCCACTGAGGAGCTGAATTTTACATTTTATTTCTTTTGCACTAATTTGAATTTATGCGTCAATAGCCACACGTGGTAAGTGCCTGCGTATTGGTCTGCACAGTTCTGGCTTTTCAGCTTACCAGCTGTGTGACCTCGCGTGAGTCACCTGACTTTTTTGAGCCCCTGTTTAGACAATTAAGAGGTTGGGTTAGGGCCGGCCCCGTGGCTTAGCGGTTGGGTGCGCGTGCTCTGCTGCTGGCGGCCCCGGTTCGGATCCCGGGCGCGCACCGAGGCACTGCTTCTCCGGCCATGCTGAGGCCACGTCCCACATACAGCAACTAGAAGGATGTGCAGCTATGACATACAACTATCTACTGGGGCTTTGGGGGGGGAAAAAATAAATAAATAAAATCTTTAAAAAAAAAAAGAGGTTGGGTTAAATAACAATAATCTCAAATGGCTTTTCACCTCTAACATTCTAGGATTCAAGGTGATTATTTTATGCATGCGTGAAAGAAAGAAATGCATTTTTTTTCGTGAAGGAATTTCTGTTCTTCTGCAGAGGTTCAGAGAGAGTAAGTAAGTTGCTCAAGGTCACAGAGCAATGAGTGCCAGGCGCTGGATTCAGAGCCCTTTTCAAAGCCTTGCATTACCTCCAGCATCACATGCCTCTGGCTTTCCCCCCGCCCAGCCTTGAAAAGGGTCTCGGGGGAGACCCTGACCCCGTATTCTGGGGCCAGAGCCTGCTTGTGTTGACCAGAGCCCTTCCTGAGCAGGATAAGCCCCGAACTTGGACTTGCCTGCTGCAGACAGGATGCGCTAGCCCCCCACTCCCTCTCCAGGGGCCCAGGTGCTCTTCGCGGGACTGGTCCCCAGGAAACCACTCCTGCTGCCGCCAACCTGCTGGGAACCCCCAGGGCGTCACAGGTGCAGCTATTGGTGGCCCTGACTGGCTAGCAGCATAGAGACTCACTTCCACGCACAATCCCTACCCTTCAAGGTGTGTGTGTGTGTGTGTGTGTGTGTGTGTGTGTGTGTGTGTGTACATGAGAGGGAGATGTGAGCTGAATACACTTGACCTTAAGGTAAATGTCCAGCAGGTTCTAAATAGAAGGTGGCTCTCGTTGAAAGCAGGTTAAAGCTGCATTCTGATGTCTGGGAAGAACATTGACCCGCACGTGTCAACTGCTGGCAGACTCACC